TTCTTCTAGTTTTTAATCAGGATTCGAGTCGTTAATGACAAAAATATATTTTAAAAATTTTTTAACAGCTTGCTTATCAAACTTTTTTTAGCAATCAAACCTGTATCTTTTTTCATTTTTCTGTTTAAAATCTAAAGGCCGCTCTTTTGAGCCAGTCAAACCTACCATCCAAGCCAGGTACTTGTAGTTGTCGGTAATGTTTTACGACAACAACTTTTTCACGATAAGTATACAATATAAAGAGATTTAATTTTAACCTAACCGTATTTTTTTTTGTGGTTAGTGGATACAACACGATTTATTTTGGCAGTAGTAAGTGAAGGTTTTTAGCTGGTAAGGTTACATTTTTGGCTTTTTACTACTTCTATTTAGCATATTTATTCAATACTCTCTGTACTTTCTTTGCACTTAAGCCACATTTGTATAGTTTAGGTCTTAGTCAAAAACAAAACTTTTACGCAATTGTTTAAAATAGATGTCTTTTTTTTGTAATTTTTCAGTAATTGGTTGGCTGAAATCTTTATTAGAACAGATATGGTGTACTTGAGGTGAAGATAAATAAAAACTGATATTATCAAAAAAAAAAAACATGAAAAGAATGGGCAGATGTACACGACATTATTTGGTAATCAACGACAGCAGGAATTTACTGTACAAAATAAGAAGCATTAAAAAAAAAGTGCCATTTTATTTGTCGTAAATGGAAGGAAAAAAAAAAGAGATAATCTGGTGTTGAAAAAGTTGAAAAAAACTGTTTTTCAACAGATGCGTGCAAAATCAATTCATTTGATGATAAATCTGTCAATTTAAGGGTTCATTGGCAGTGTTATTGTTTTTATGTGACAAACGATGACCTGCTTTTTTTGGGAAGTGGGGGAGAAGGGTAATCTGGTCGATACCCAAAAAATTATGGAAACTTTCTGACGTCTATTCGTGATGCTACGTATGTCACTTAGTTTTGTTTATCTGTATTAGTAACTCAAAAATATATTTCTATTGTCATTTAACGTTAGATAATTTTGTTTTCTTTTTCAGTCTTAACGCTATTTTATTTCACACTTATTTTTAAATGAATACAACGTCAATATGATAACGACATGAAAAGAACATTTACTGTGCTTAAATACACTATTCGCTAATTTCGAAAGTCTTCTTGGCTAGCAATTCTTGACTGACCAACATTATTTTTAAACCTTAAAGTTTCTGTCGCTAGCAGTTACTTGAGTTCTAGAACTGAGCAGCTATAGCAACTGAACAGCTTCCAAAAGCTCAAAACAAGAAAAAATCTTGTAGAATAGTACTTCAGGTTTAGTATTACTTTTTTTTTATTGAGGAAACTATAATTGATGGGGTTTTTTTATTACGTGATTGCTTGTTTTTTATTCAATACTTAAATAAAAAATTTTTTTATGTGTTTTACAAATTTTGGGCTTGCAAAATAACCGTTTAGATTTAATAAAGTTGGCTACACTTCTGAAACTTTTATTTGCTGCAGATATTTTATTGTTGAAACAACCGTGTGTTTGCATCTGAAATAATGCAGAAACAGATGATTTTTAAAAAAGTTGCTCAAAATTAAAAAACTGAAAATTGTTTTGAAGAGATAAATGATGGTTAAATATATTTCGTTTTGTCTCAATTATTAGTTTCGCTCACTGTTTTGATAAAAATTAAAAAACGCATCAATAGATCGAATTAGGATGTAATTTTTGTCAAAAACAATTTTGCAGGACAGCTGCATTTGGTCTGTGTAATCTGTCGTTTCCTAAGGCTGCATTCCATTATTAGTGTCTTAATTTATTGACAGTATAAGGGTAATAGTTCAAAAGTAAAACTGAAAATAAGTTTTTGCTTTTACAGTTCTTTATAATTTAATTAAAAAATATACTTACAAACTGTTTTTGATGGTAAATTATGATATACAAACAATTAATAATTGAGAATCAGTAATAAAAAGATTAGATATTGGTACGTTTCTAGCACGTTTTTGTGAATAGTTGCTCAAAAAAATATGAAGTTAACTGACTAAAATCTGCCTATTAGCATCATCGCTATCACAGTGTTACGAGTGTCGACTAATGTATCCAACTGAAGACTGGCAATAAATTACAGGGTGATTAAGAGACATGTTGCGTAAGAACGTAAATATTATTGAAGCTTTGCTGCTTCTGTCGCTGTCCAGCGTTATTCATTGTAACAACGGTGGTAATTTTTCAGTTTTTTTTTTCAAAAAAAAAAAGAAAAACGAAGATTAATTTTTAAAATCTTTCTGTTTGTTTTTACTTTATTAGACGCTCTTTTATTTCGGTAACTTTCTTTTTAAACCAATAGAATAAGTGGACCTTGATCGTAATAAGTGTGGTTCTAATTTATTATGACCAGTAAAAGCGATGAGGAAATAGCCAAACTAAAACAAAGCCTTTTATTTTTGGTAGTTAAGAAAGCGTTGTGTTTTGTATTGCTTAGCATTACAATTAGACGATAAAAGTTGACAGATGAACGTTGTAGCCGGTGGCGAAGATTTGGAAAACAGAGTGTATTTTGGGATACCAATTGGTGCAATAAAGTTAGAAGAGTACGGCTTGGAAGCAGATGTATATGCATCTGATGAGCATACTATCAACTTTCAAAATTTTTCTTACGACCCAACTAAACCGGGATGTAAGACTTCGCTTAGTTTACTAAAGAATGACTTTTGTCATCATTGTCATAAAATTATGCGTAATAAAACCTACAGCTAATATGTTATTATTGAACTGTGTAAAAAAATAGCTCATTTGAACAGTTGCAAACGATTTAAGGTCTTTCATTGATTATGGGGCCAGCAAGAAAGAACGAAAAAAAGGCTTTGAAAGAAGGCGTTTTGTTGGAAATGTTTGAAAATCGAATACTGTCGGGAGGCTCAAAACGTAAAGTGCGTCAAGTGGTCAGCGACAGTGTATTTCCGTTGTCCGGTTGGTCCACCGGATTAGATCACTTAGAAATGCCACCAGAA